ATTCTGACAATTTAACTGTCAAGAAGAAACCTGTAAAAAAGTATGGAAAAAGAAAAAACACTTCTTCAAGACTCGGAAAGTGACGAACCAAAGGCAAATAAGATTGTTATCATGCAGCTGCAAAAGAAGAAAAATGGGGGGCGAGTTTACAGCAAGAGACACTTCTGCCTCTACTGTTCAATGTCCTGCCACAAAATGTCCCGTCATTTGACTAGAACAGCCATTCCCAAACTCAGTAACACCGAGGCCCCCTTAAAAATCTGACGGGTCTGCGTGGCCCCCCAAAATAATAACCAAGAAGACAACATTAAGAATAGGCTCTTCTGGTTATTTTATTTTAGGGAAATAGCCTCTGCTACAAACATTGTAATACAAAAATGATTACAGTGGATTATTCAAGTCAAATAATGAACACAAATATTTTAATATTACAAACAAAACATTATAAATTTAACATTAAATGATGATATTTTTTTTTTTTTATGACCTCCCGCGGCCCCCCTGCAGTACCCTCGCGGCCCCCCAGGGGGCCGCGGACCCCACTTTGGGAGACACTGGACTACACTGTGGCCTTGGACAGTGGCCTCATGGAAAAAGCCCGGTGCTGACCTCCCCCTCCTCTACAACAGGGCGGAGTGTCTTGCTCAAAAGTACTTCAGCAGTGACAGGCCAATGGAAAGTGGAGGTTTGTGTGGTTACATCATTTACAAGTCCAACTAGACTGAGCGAGTGTACAAAGCATCTCAGTCCTGGGTCTACAGCCTCAGTCCTGGATCTACAGCCTCAGTCCTGGGTCTACAGCCTCAGTCCTGGGTCTACAGCCTCAGTCCTGGGTCTACAGCCTCAGTCCTGGATCTACAGCCTCGGTCCTGGTTCTATAGCCTCGGTCCTGGATCTACAGCCTTAGTCCTGGATCTACAGCCTCAGTTCTGGGTTTAAGGACGGTGATAATCCAGCTACATTTCTGCACATTTATGACAGTGGTCCTACCGCTCTGTATGGACCATTTCTTGTGCTCAAACAGTTTGATTCTCTGATCTGTCTCGACATCTTTGTAAAGTTGTGACAGGGGCTTTACCAGTAGAAATGTAATTGAATATTTTTTTTTAATCATATTTAATAACGTTCAACACTATTTGAAAACGTGGTTAATATTCTACATCAACATCTTTGTTTGGTTCCAGCACAAACTTTTTTCAATTCAGTTTATTCTTGTATTACTTTAAATCACAGCAGTAGTTTTCTCAGAGGACTTTACACAGCTGTCGATTCTCCAACACAGATCAGAGAATCAAACAATGCAGACACAGGAAATGCAATGATAAAAACACATGGATCCAGTGGTCCATAAATGTGGCTGAATGTGGACAGTCTTGGATCATCACAGCCTCCTGAGGAACAACCCCAGGGAGGTCCAGGTCCAGGTCCAGGTCCAGGAGAGCTCTATCTGAGGAGACTTTAGGACCAGAAGCACTTTCACATCTTCATAAATCATTCTTATTTGATCCAAGTCTACAGAGTCCACTTCATTTGGTGTTTATACATTTCCCTTTTGACCTGAGCGACGTCCTCTGACCTCTGACCTGTGTCTGTTACAGAAATGGTTCCAGCAGCGGAACGCCAAGTGGAGGCAGGCGGAGGGACTGCCCCCCAAACTGGGGTCCGTGCTGGACTGACCGCTGGGACCTACAGAATCCCCAAGAACCTCCAGGATCCTACAGGACTTGGAGGTTTACCCTCTGTAAATCTACAGGGGCTATAAGGAACACTTTTGAACTTTCCAAGACTTTCAGGACCATCTATAATCTTTCACAGCCCTCAGGACTCTCCGGGACTCTCCAGGACTCTCCAGGACTCTCCGGGACTTTCCAGGACTCTCCAGGACTTTCCAGGACTCTCCAGGACTCTCCAGGATTTTCCAGGACTCTTCAGGACTCTCCAGGACTCTCCAGGACTTTCCAGGACTCTCCAGGACTTTCCAGGACTCTCCAGGATTTTCCAGGACTCTTCAGGACTCTCCAGGACTCTCCAGGAGACGCCATTGTGAATCCAGCTGATTAGTGGTTCTGATCCGGGGCATCAACATCTACAGACGGGCCCTGCTCCTGACAGAGGCCTCAGCTGCGGTGAAGGATGGGTCAAATGCAGAGGACAAAGTTCCCACAGGAATAAATAAAGTATAAATAACTAATTAACTTTTCCAAAGAGATTTGTTTGGTCTTTACCTCAGATGTCTTGTTTTCTCGGAGCGTGCCCTGGTGAAGCCGGGGCATCTGGAGAAGTTGAACCAAACAGACCCAAACCCAAGCTTTACTCCTCTCTCTGGAATTATGAATGAAGATGTGGGGGGCGGGGTCAGCAGCGGACCAATCAGAGAATAGAGAGAGACTGTGAGACTGATGAGGTCATGCTAAAGTCCCGCTGTGATGTGGGCCGAGCTGAGGCAGATGTGGCCTCTGAGGCTGGTTCAGGTCCCACTAATGTAAAGTGAAAAATATCAAATGCAACAATATATTTAGCCCCGATTTCCAACAGCCCTACCCTACCCTACCCTACCCTACTCTACTCTACTCTACTCTACTCTACTCTACTCTACCAGGTTGTGTTTCCATTACCCCATTAGTATCTGGTACCTTTTCCCAGCAACTGAACTCTCAATAAACCCGTATCCATGGAAATTCCTTGGTTAGCATGGCTTCCAGCAGCAATCAATATCAACTAGAACACTTTAGAGCCAACTCGGCCTAAAAATGTACCTGGTACCGGTTAAACAGTGCCAGTAGAACAGAGTGGAACAGGGCTGGTGGAAACGGGGCTAGTGTTTTGCTTTGAATGCAAATATCAAACAACTTAATCAGAAAACCAAATTGTTGCTGAAGATAGAAGTAAGAGTAAAAAGGATTGGACTGGACCAGAACTGGACCAGAACTGGACACAGATCTCGACTGGACCAGGACCGGAACCAGAAGAGGACCAGGACCAGGCCCCGGACCAGGACCAGGATTGGACTGGACCAGGATTGGACCAGGACTGGACCCGGAGCTCAACTGGACGAGACCATGACTGGCCTAGACCTGGACTAGGACATGGACCCGGAACAGGACCAGTACCAAGACCCAAACCAGGACCAGGCGCATCCGTCTGTGAAGAGACTAAATGTTATGAAGACGTTTCAATGTGAAGTGTTTTTTTGACAGATTTGAAATGTACAGTTTATATTAAAGCAGGATATAAATCATGTTAAACTTTGAACATTAAGAACTTGTTGAATAAAACTAAAGGAGAAAATATGAGAGATCGTCACTGGTCACTGAGGGATTCTGGGAAATGTCAGTGTTGCAGCAATACAGGAACTAGATCCAAGAGACAGAGAATCCACTTTATTTGTAGCACATTTTAAAAACGGTTTTCAAACTTATTCTTCCACATAAACAAATGAACAAAATAATTCTCTCACGTTTCAGTTAAATTACATTCTAAATCACAGCAGCAGTCGTCTCGCAGAACTTTACAAAGTTGTGGATTTGGCGACAACAGATCAGAGAATCAAACACAGGAAATGCAATAATAACAAACACAGGCCATTCAATCAGTCAATCTTTATTTATAGTCTTTTACAACACTCAAGGCGACCAAAGCGCTACAATAAAATCACATCAACTCCATTAAAAAACATTCATACAATCAAAAAACCAGGGGGACCAGGAACCAGGGACCAGGGACCAGGTATTTGATAGTAAGCTTTTAGTAAGTAAGCTTTTATTTATATACCGCCTTTTCACTACACATCGGAGTCTCAAAGCGGTTTACAATTGTTATTTTTTTTGGGAGTGCCAGTACAGGAGGCACTCCCAGGGTACCAGGGAACAGAAACTAGGGACCAAGGTCTAGGAACCAGGGACCAGGAACTAGAGACCATGAACCAGGAACCATCGATTAGAAAATATGAACCAGGGACCAGGAACCAGGAACCAGGGATTAGAGAATATGAACCAGGGACCATGAACCAGGAACCAGGGATTAGAGAATATGAACCAGGGACCAGGAACCAGGGACCAGAGACCAGGAACCAGGGAGGGTCTGAACAGTGCTGAGGAGGGAACTATACACAGAAACCAAGAATGCGTTCTCATTATTTCAATCTGGAGAGACAAAAGGTTCCCACACAGACAATAGGGTTATAGAATTGTATTTAACAGTTGCCATGGTAACCTGTCAGTGACCACAGTAGACTCTGCAGACGTTATATTTGGAGCATCTCAATATTCATTGGTCTTTGTATTTAGATAAACAGCGCCCTCTGCTGACAGATGCTGTGCACTACGCGTAAAGAGTGTATAAAGAGGACACGTGACTTTTATAGACTTTTAAAACCTCAGACTTGAGTCCAACAAAAACAAAAACATTGGATATTGTATTTCTCTGCAAGAACTGAGACCAGAGAAAGTTTTCACACAGTAATAAGAAAGACACACATCCACACTCACCTCTAACAAAGTAGTAAACAAATATTATTATTATTTTCCTTATTATTATTACTACTTTTATAATCATCATTATCATGGTTTATTTCTGTTTATTTTGTGTCTTGTTTGTTTCGTGTAATGTTTGAAACATTCTCTACTATTGTTGACATTGTCATTATCATTACTATTACCTTTAAATGTATTATTATTATTATTATAAAGATCAGGAAATTTGGATCAGAAGAAAAAGTTCATGAAACCTGAAGAATGTGTTTTACTGCTGCACATTTTATACTTGCTTCTTCATGTTTACGTTAGAGATGTTATTCTGTTTTAGAGTTGTTCATGTATCTTGTGCTGTGGGCTCCTCATTCCTACTGTTCTGTAACTGCTGATGCGACACTGACATTTCACTGTGAGACCAATAAAAGATCTTCTTTAATCTTAAATATAAAACCTTGTCATCTGCGGCTGTTAAGTCTTTGAGCCAGAATCAAAAGGACACATTATATTTGTCATTAAAGTCGAGGAACGTTTTGGGTCCGTTCACATCTGGAGCATTTTAGATTCTCATCATTTCGCAGTAAATAAATCCACAGAAGCGCAGGCACGTGGAGCGCAATTACGCAAGAGCGACGCCATCCCAGCGATCAGCGGTGCTAGAGAGCGCTGCCTGCTGAAGGAGCATGATGTGATGTTATGTGGAGGACTAGAGGCCACCCGCGGTACTGCAGATACATCCACATGAGCCAGAAGGACCTTTTTGTAAAACATTTGTATTTTTTTTATGAAAAAAAGCATTTGTTTTCACCAAATATGTAACAGCATCTAAATGTTTCATTTTCATTGAGATATTCCACATTTTACAAACTGTGCCATATGCATTTCTGCCTGGATTTTTCACTGGCATAAATTGTTATTTTTTTGGAATCCAGAAATAAACTTTGCTCCAAGGTAAAAGGTTGAAGTGGCATTGGATACTGTTCATTTGCTGCTTTACAAGTATTTATGCCATATTTACATTTCTATGTGTTTTTTTAAACGAATCAACCTTTTTTGATAATGTAGCTTAATGTACTCTTGCAAACTATTGTAGACATGAAAATGTTCACATCCACAGAATCTACAAAGACTACAATTTGAGTGAAATTTCTAGCATTTTCAACAGCGTTCATGCTGTGAAAAGGCCTGTATTGTACTTATATGGGAATAGGCCTGAGAGTTTTTAATGGACAATATGGACACACCAGGACAGGATATGGATGGTGCTGAAATTGGCTGGATTACACTTTGAGGGCTTCAGCTTGGGAGCGTCTGGACTCATAGAAAAGAACCGAGCCCAGGCTTCTGAGTCTCTTATTTTTTTTGTTATTTCACCGTTGACATTTACCGTACACGCTGGGTTCAGATGTTACATGAACCTATTTGTCATTTCCAGGTCTACTCCATGAAGCAGCTGAGGCCAAAAGTGATGAGCACATTCTCCATCATCCGGGGCAAAGATTGTGGAGCCAGAGGTGAGACATCATCGATCGTGGTATCGGGAGTACACAACATTTATACATTTGGTTCCCCTTTTTGTTTTTGTGAATGATTGAATGTTTGCTCATTTTGCTATCTTATGTGTATATGTACGTATATATGTATGTACTGTATGTATGTTTATGTATATATGTTCTTTTGTGCAGGGCTTCTGGGGAAAAACAGAGCAAACATGTAATCTTTAAAAATGAATGACAAAAATGTGACTCTTCAATAAACACATTTATTTTGGCCTTATATAAATGAAAGTAAAAAAGTTTGCATATTCAAAGGTTTGAATGCACAAAAATGAAAATTAACGATCAAGCTCACAATACGTTAAATGGAACCAAAAAAAATTACATCAAATGTTAGCAGCATAGAAATATCTAAAGAGGAAGAACCAAACAATGTTTTATGTCATGAAGCCATATCTTCAACTTTCTAAATAGATCCTTTAAGACTCTGAGAAAATAATCAGCTGTCTGTATGAAATCATCCTATTATCACAGAATATATCTCACCGTCATCACCATCAGCTTCATCACCAGTGAAACCAGAGGTGGGGGGCCACGGTGCAGAGGTGGGGGGCCACGGTGCAGCCATTCCAGAGTCATGACCAGACTGATGGACAGTGAGACTATAAAATGCCTGAGTGTATTCTCGGTGAACATGACCAGGAATGTCCCGACCGTCTGGAAAATTTTCACCTGATTCAGTCTTTTGCTCAGAGTTGCTTGACTCCGTACTGGATGTTGGACCACATGGTGTCTGTTCCAGGCCATCACTTGCTCCCAAGAAGCCTGAGAAAACCATTTCACTTGTGTTTCTTTTAGGTGACTTGTGGAAGTGGAGTTGTGGGAAATCCTGACGCAGGTAATATTTTAGCTGATCTGCCCTGAAGAAATGAATAGATTGAATATAATATAAGTAGGCATTTTTCTGTATTAGATATTGCATTATTTAGGTCAATATAAGTGCATATATTTCAAAGCAAGAAAGGCTGAGTGCAAGAGTGCTGCAGAGGGTTGGAGTGGTAGAAGGCTTGAAACACAGGTGCTCTTCACAGACAGGGCAGTCTAAACACATACAGGATGTTTTTCACTTGATCGTAGTGTGGTGACGGAGAAGGAAGAGTCCGAGGCATTCTGTTTAAGTACCATCAAGTCAAAAAAATTCTATATCTGATAAGTACATTTATGTTTTTAAGAATGGCTATTTAAATTACATGTGCATCAAAAGTTACGTCCAAATATATGAATGTATGTATTAATGCATCTGTCAGTGTGCCTCAGGGCAGCTGCGGCTACTGCTGCGGCTACTGTAGTGGTTTATAATCACTGTGTATGAAGTGTAAGAATAGTAACGTGAAGTCTCTGCGTGTTTTGAGAAGCTCTAAACACGCATGTAAACACACATGATACGGTAAACACACATGATACGGTAAACACACATGTTACGGTAAACATACATGATAAGGTAAACACAAACATACATGATACGGTAAACATACATGATAAGGTAAACACAAACATACATGATACGGTAAACACACATGTTATGGTAAACATACATGATATGTTTAAAGAAGGACATGAGATAAACCTTCAGTGTAAAGTTTAAGTGGACGCTGATTCGTTTTTGAAGAACCGCTAATGTGTGTGCGTCAGCAGCAGACTGTGTGTCGGTGGTGAATGTGTATTATTTAAATATCCTTGGTGAGAGGTATGTAACATATGTAATATACACTGTCACCTCTGAATACTTTCACATACCTAAAATCTTCAAGACTGATGGCTTCTTCTTTCTGGACAGTCTTCACAAACAAATCCAGAAGATCCTTCATGCGGATTATTTCTTGGCTGTTGATGATCCTTCCACGGACAACCTCATCACAGAATGTATGATAGCTGTGGATGTGTCGCTCCTTGGTCGACTTGAACCTGTCATGACATTACCAGACGTTCAAAGGTACATATTTTGTGATAATTAGCAACAATAAGATTTGTGTTGACACCAATGTTGCATTCACTTTTGATACCAACAATATCCAGACTTCTTGTTGGACACATAATGACTCGATCATGATTTCAAACCGAGTACTGCTAAGTGGAAATAAAGACAATATTTTTATGCTACAAATCTGATGTCCTCACACACGCTCAGTTTGCATGATTGTACCTTCATTAGATGGCTATGAATTCCTTTCAATAATTTGAGCGTATCCATAACAAATTTTGAATTGAACTTATTTACCCTTTCGTCTCTTTCTCCTTCCAGCTGAGCAGTCTTGTGTACTGCCGATAACAGGACTGATGATATCTGACCTCTATGGCTGCACAATCTTTGCCCCGGATGTAATTGAGAATGCGCTCATCACGTTTGACCTCAGCTGCTTCATAGAGTAGACCTGGAAATGACAAATAGGTTAAATTGTGTTCTGAATCATTTCATCCCAGCAAAAGTAACACCTAAACAGAGAGGACTAAGTCAACCAAAGAAAACACTACAATTAACATGCATGCCTACTAATAATATAATAATGCTAGCATCCAGTCATCACAGCATTACAATAATATAGATAATTTGCCTAAATACATGACAGGCCTCCAATGCAATGTTTCAGTGGTCTAGTCTCATATAAGGCCAACTTGTATTGAATATGTAAATCATAGTTAGTTGTAATTATAGTAGTGTAGCTGGTAAGTATATCAGTCTGGGACTTAGCTCTAATGTTATTAATGTAGTTGGGTTGTAGGTAGGCCCCTCCCATCCTCATATATCACAAGGTCAACACCAAACAGAATCAATCGAAACTTAGTGTGATGTTTTGAAATCATATAAGTTTACCTGCACTTTCAGTCTTTGCCAGGGAGAGTTTGTCTTGCACCCTCTTGAACTTACGAGTCAAGAATTTGTGAAACTTTTGGCAAATCAAACAGCTGTATCCCATAATTAGACTGTATCCCAACATCTTCCTTTTCTGAGGGGCTTCCTTCTTGGGAGAGACAGTGGATGGGAGCCTCTTCATTGTTCGTGGCTTCTCAGCACGCTTCAGAGCACTGCTTATCCGTTTCTTATCAGTGAAACGGCAATAGCAAATCGGGTGAAAGCCGAAGTTCGACGGGATATCTGACTCAGTTGTTTGCAGGGGATTGTTGTGGCTGGGTCTAAGTGCATGATGCATTTAAAAGGCTTCACATCATCCAGTTCATCCTCAGAAGACAATGGAGACATTCCACCGTAAGCCTTGCACGCCATGTTGGTTTACGCGGCGCAGTGATCAGCCCGCTCCATGGATCGCCCCGTCCCAATACTCGCACTTCCACCAGGGTTACCAGGTCCAAGAAAAATTTCCAGCCCAATGACCTCTCAAAACTCGACCAAAAAGTATGAAAACTAGCCCAATAATTAATTTCAGTTCAATTTAAATTTATTTATCAAATAAACATTCTGTTTGCCAAACAACATTGGCTGGTTTATTCTCCTTTCATCAGCTGCTGTATTGACACACAAAGACATAGGTGTCAGTCAAAAGTTTGTTTAAAAGAGTGTGTGTTTCATTACCTAGTACCTACCTAGATTAGTTAATTATCTTACATTTTCACTCTTCCTCTTATCCAGTTCTGCTGCAGCTCTCGTTGTGATGTGCTCGCATTTCACTCTTACAGAACTTGCAGAAAGCCTTTCTGTCATCATTTGGGACACTGCGTATCCACTCTTTTATGCCCCTTTCTGACTATATCCTATATCGTTTTTGGTACTTCCCCCATTTACCTGACATCGCACTGTTAGCTTCTTTTTTCCGCGTGCCTAAAAATGACCAAAATGACGGTCTTGATAGCTGACTGACTGGCTTCTTTGCCGCTGCACGTGCGGCCTCTGTCTTGCGTAGGGGGGCGTGCCGCGGCACCACTCAAAGGCTTGCGTGTGAGTGAGAGAGAGAGCGAGAGAGACGGGGAGGGTGGGGGTGAGGGACAGTGCTGAGCTTTGAATGTGACGAATCTGATTGGGAAAAATAGATAAAATGACAGATAAAGTTGCGGCCGCGGACAGTTTAAAATCAGCCCAAGAAAACCGCAACCCGCAGCACAAGATTTTTTCCCGCAACGGCCAATTTAAAGTAGCCCAATTGTGCGGGAAAACCGCGGACCTGGCAACTCTGACTTCCACCCTCGCGCCCCTCATTTGCGCGTTCCCGATAAAGGGTGCGAGTGCGTAGGGCGTCCCAATTCTCCAGGGAGGTCTTTGGCCCCGCCCCCTTTGCGCCCCTGATCCACACTTCGCCGCAACCTGTCACTGTATTGGGACGGGGCCAGAGTCTCCTATTGGCTGAGCACCGGCGATTGACAACTTTCCGGTTCCTCTTCTATTTATTTCCGGCAGGCTGTACAATATAGAGGCCCAGTCCCAATACCCACACTGCACCCTACACACTTCTACGAAGTGTGCATTTGTTCGAAGTGCACACCAGGGTTGGAGTGCGCAGGTTACAAGTGTGCAAAAAAGGCAGAATTGGGACAGTGCACAGTGAGTGCAGGATACGTCATCGACTCGTCAAGAGATGGTCATTTTTAGACCTAAACTTTATAAACATTAAAGGTAACTTTGTCTGACCCTTTGGGAAACAAATTGAATTGCTTCACACACGTTAAAATACATGTATATTAGTTGTTTTTAATTAGAGATAGCTGTATAATTTTAAGTTAAATGTGGGTAACTAACTGTTATCTGGTCAGTTTTTATACATTCTAAGATTATTGTACTAAGTGTAAAGTTTAAATTGAATGTTATATAAACGCTTGCTTTAAAAAGTTATTAAATTGTTAAAACACAATGTCCGTAATTCTTCATCAGACGTTTATGCTTCTTTCCAAGTAACATAGCAAAACTTATTGACACACATACTGCATATATATTTCAAAATTTGCATTTTCCCGACGTTTTGGTGTGTACCGCAAAGAATTATGGGCAATATCCTTCGCCAGAGTGCGCATAGATGCAGGCTACGGCGAAGTGTGGATCAGGGGCGCAAAGGGGGCGGGGCCAAAGACCTCCCTGGAGAATTGGGACACCCTACGCACCATGGATGTATTACTACGCACTCGCACACTTTATCGGGAACGCGCAAATGAGGGGCGCGAGGGTGGAAGTGCGAGTATTGGGACGGGGCCTTCATGCTGCTCTCTTCCGTTCAGGTTGATCAGAGAGAAGGAAGGATACAACTGCTTTTCTTCTCATTGCCACTTTTGTTCTGTTTGCACATTTCTTACTTTTTGCACAATCTTGAGTGTTTCTATTCATGCCAAACGTGACATGTAAACTTCTCCTGTGTGAGATTAATAAAGTACATCTTATCTTATCTTATCTTTGTCAATCAAACCAATACGAGTTTTTCCCGAAGAAAACATAGATTTTATTGAAAATACTGTTAATCCAAGATCTGACAGCTGCTTGTACAAAATCTGTCTTTCTGTTGAGTATAAAGCGCAAAACAATAACACATGAGGCACCGTTTCAGGTTGACCACACTGACATAATCCATCACGATGCTTAAGCAATGATCTTCAAATATGCTGCTGGCCCACAATGTGACAACGTTCTTCGTCTCGTTACGCGATAAATAGTCCGGCGTAAGATTTGAAACTATAAAATAACTGCGGGGATTTGAATGGAGAACTTTTGGTTATGTTATGTATGTTAGACAAGCTATCACATGATCCGCTCAGATTTTAGTACCCCGAGTGTTGGAACGAAACAACACAATTTCTGGCTTTTTGGCCTGGGTGGTTTTGGCCCTACTTATTCCCTACTTCTATGGAAACACAACATGGCCGCCACATGTGTCACAGACAGAAGCCGCTCTCTCTAGCGTCACACACCGCCGCACACTCCCCCTCCACACGCACGCTCCTCACGCACGCTCCTCACTGATCCAGCGTCTCCAGCGGCAGCAGAGAGAGCCCTCAGCCCGGACTCAAGTCATGTTCTCCTGCAGAGCGGCGTGGAGGAGGTGTGGGCCCCTGGTGCGGAGGGCCGGCTACAGTCTGCCCCGTCATGGTACGTGCGTGTGTGTGTCCGGGCTGTGACTGTGTGTGTACGCGGGGCTGTCCCGGAGAGAGAGTACATGGTGTTCCCAGGCGCACCGCACACTCGTCCTTGAGTCTGTCTATGGGCCCTGGGACGCACCGGACATGGACAGACCAGGGGACAGACCAGGGGACTCTTGCCACGCGCACCTATAGTCTGCGGAGCCTGGTGGTATGTCCCTGTGTGAGACTTTGGCACTTGGTCCAGATCACTGCTGCTCTCTGTTCTGGGCCTCTCCAGCTCCAGCACAGACCGGTCTTGAACCAGATAATACCAGGTGAAACCCACAGATCCGTGGGTCTATGGTCTGAGTGCGTGCTGTGACCTTCAGTAGTTTGTGAGCGCACACATGCAAACATGGAGGACTGTGCGCGTCACGTGGTGCGCGCGCCTCTGCATGTAAAGCGCTGCAGGGCATGTGCTACGTGTGTGTCCTTGCTCTGTCCTTTCTCCCATAAACTCTCACTTGACATGGTCTGACCAGGGGTGGCACGTGTCCTGTTGTCTAAGTATTTGGAGTCCAGTTCAATCCAGTTCAATACATTTGTGTATGACCCTAAATGACATCAGTAGGACTTTACAAAGTTGTCAATTCGCCAACACAGATCAGAGTAAACAGATAAAACACAGGAAATGCAATGATAACAAACACATAGAGCCATTGATCCACAAGGGGCAGAGACCAATGTCCATAAATGTTGGTATAAAACAGTTATTTCACTTCTATTCCATAAAAAAACATTTATTTTTTAGAAACAATCAAGGTGGTTATATGTTTGACTGATCTGATTCGAGACATGATCTGCAAGGATCAGGAGCCACATTATCTGTATCACCAGTCTATTTTGGTAGAGCGTCCATGCATGCAATTGTTAATCCAACTAATGAGATTTGGCCCCAACTACAGATCAGTCCATCTTTAAGATCAGAGAGAAGAGAAACTTTTTGTTCTCCTCAGAGGGGAAGAAGTGTCAACAACATATCAATCAATCAACTTATGTGTATTGCGTCTTTCCTACACAAGGCAACACAAAGCGCCTCACAATCCACATCAAAACAAGCAAATCATAAACATTAAAATCTACATATACAAATAAAAAAACGTATAGCATCATATCACATTTACAGATGTTAGTAATGTACTTTAGCGGAAGAGAATATGAGCTGAACAAAAAAGTAAATAAACTATTGATTTGTCAGTACAGAGGACATTAGTATGGCTTTTGTCCAGACTCAGCAGTTCTTGTCTGACAGCAGGAGGAAGAAAAGACCAGCAGACCCTCTCCTACACACAGCGAGGGTGGAACGGTCTGTCACTGAAGCTGCTCTCCAGCTTCATTATTGGTTGAACTAACCCATGTGTGTGTGTGTGTGTGTGCGGTAATAGTGACATGACAGATACATGTATCAAAAGGATGTAGAAGCTAGTACTGCCTAATTACATGTTTTGATGGTCGACTTCTGACTTTGCCGAAACATGTCAGGTAATTAAGCAGTACTAGCCTCACAATAAAAGTATTTTGGTTCTATGCTAGACAATAGTAGGTTAGTGATGTTAATAAATTGGCTTGAAATGTTACAACAAATACTTTCATCCTTGTGTGGTTTCCCGGGCTGATCGCACCCCTGCCAGTCAGTGGTCACTGGGAACTAGGGCTGGGCGATATGGCAAAAAAGTAAAATCTCGATTTAATTTCCTGCTTTGGACGATTTCGATTCGATTTTCATTAAACATTAGACAGACTTTGGCCATAAAAAATATTGTTATCTTTCCGCTCAATATTCAAGTTTCAAAACTACTTTTAATTTGTTTCTCCCAATACGTATTATAAGTCTTGTGCAGACTGTGCTGATTGTGCAGGTATAATTCATGGGCTTCCTTCATTTGATTTCACGATTTTCAAATTTTTCACAAAAGCCGATTAATTGCCTTCGATTTATTGGCCAGCCCTACTGGGAACACCTCTTCAACTGACTCCACTCAATGTAGATGATCAGCAACTCTATTATGAGCTCCTCCCATGTGACTGAGCTCTGAGGAAGCACACTCTGCGGGAGAAACTCATCCTGTCATGACCATAACTTGTGGATGGGAACATAGACTGAGCTGTAAATCCAGAGTTTGCCTTGGTTTTTTGCAAAGCGCTAGATACATAAATTTGACTGACCCACGTCCTCTGACCTGCAGGCGTCCAGCAGCGGCCCATGTCCTCGCTGCCTGGAGGAGGTTCCGGGGAGAACATCGTCTACACCCTGCTGTGTGGAGGGGCCCTCGTGGCATCGGTCTCCTATGTGAGTAACTCAGAAGAGACAATGACAATACTCCCATCTAGGGATAGAAGTGGGTCCAAGTCATTCTGCAGGATTTAGAATGGATTTTATCATGGTCCAAGAGAGGAGAGTTCAGAAGACTCAGAATCATAATAATTTTTATTGCCATGTAAGTAACAAGAAGTCACATACTCTGAAACTGCTTTGGCTCTAGGTGCACAGTCAAAGAAGAGAGATAGAGAGAGAAAGAGGGGGTTCAGAAGGCTCGGTCCTCAGGGTTCAGAAGGCTCGGTCCTCAGAGTTCAGAAGGCTCGGTCCTCAGGGTTCAGGAGACTCAGGGTTCAGAAGTCTCGGTTCTCAGGGTTCAGAAGGCTCGGTCCTCAGAGTTCAGAAGGCTCGGTCCTCAGGGTTCAGAAGGCTCGGTCCTCAGGGTTCAGAAGGCTCGGTCCTCAGAGTTCAGGAGGCTCGGTCCTCAGGGTTCAGAAGGCTCGGTCCTCAGGGTTCAGAAGGCTCGGTCCTCAGGGTTCAGAAGGCTCGGTTCTCAGGGTTCAGAAGGCTCGGTCCTCAGGGTTCAGAAGTCTCGGTCCTCCAATGTTAGGCACTTTGTCTTGATGGGAGCGAGGAGGTTGGAATCGGTGGTTCTGAGGCAGCGGGAGGGACAGTGCTGATGCAGGAGGTGGATGAGATTAGAGGGGGCAGGTTATGAAAGGACTGGAGCCAGTGGAGTTCTTTGAGGATGGGGGTGATGTGGTTTCTGGAGCGACGCGGGTGAGAAGGCGGGTGGCATGGATATGGAACAACAAATACAAGGGAACGCACACCCCTATGCTACACCTACATGACCTTATATGTACATTTATATAATAGATAGATATTTTATTGATCCCTGTAGGAGAAATACAGAGACACGTCCATCCAAACAAAGTGACTAACAATAGTTATAGAGGTGGAGAGTCACCAGCAGTATAGTTTATGGTCTATGTTCTGGTTTATAGACTATGGTATAGCTTGTGGTAGTTTAAAGTATAGTATAGTTTAGCGTGTCCTTTGAATAATATTATAGGTGTAAAACATGTGTTAAAAGTTTGAGTTGGAACAGAAGTGTGATGTGTCGCAGGCCGTGAGCACCGTGACCTCGGACAGCGCTCGCTTCAACGACCGCATCTCAGAGATCGCCGCTCGTCCCAAGAGCGAGTGGCAGGCCCGGCCCTGGCCCCCCAAGAGTGAGTACCATCTGCGCCCACCAGGATCACCAAACCCGGTCTTCCAAAACCTTTACGGCAGGGGTCTCCAGGAGAGCTACTATATCAGTACACAATGATGAGTTATTCCCTTTGGAGAAAGAACGACGGCTTAAAGTATTAAAGCCGTAAAAAGAATGGATGTTATTGGACTTTAATCTCTGATACATTTCCCATTAGAAATTCTACAACTGGCAATATATTCTAAAATTGAGATACATCTTGTCAAATTTGAACCATGTCTGATGGGCGTTTTTACTCTCTCCCCTTTACATGCACATACAACAATCTAATTTCATTTGTATTATTATTATTGTATTTTAGCCTGTAAAATTATTCAGCATTTTTGTCCATTCTAAATCCTTTGGGGAGCTACTGGGAAACAGCCACCTGCAGTGTAGTTTATGGTATGGTTTATGGTATAGTTTAAGAAGTTTATGGTATAGTTTAAGAAGTTTATGGTATAGTTTAAAGTGTAGTTCATGGTATAGTTTAAGTAGTTTATGGTATAGTTTAAGAAGTTTATGGTATAGTTTAAGAAGTTTATGGTATAGTTTAAGTAGTTTATGGTATGGTTTAAAGCAGGAGTCCCCAACCTTTTTCAATCGGAGAGCTACTCTAATACCACAGAAGAGGCAGAGAGCAACTCCTTTTTGCAGTCATAATAAAAATCTAGTATAGTTACAACAAAACAAGGAAAAAGGATGAAAAAAAACCATAATATTGTATAACCCTATATTTATACTAATACTACATGTGTACTGACTCAAAAGTGAGTCCTTCAAAATCATGAGCTACCTGAAAGGGGCTGGCAAGCTACTGGCTGGAGATTACTGGGATAGATGGATAGATACTATAGTTAATGGTATGGTTTATGGTATGGTTCAAAGACTTGATTCAATTTTTTGGTCAAACATGAACTCTGCCGACATAGAAGTGTTACACCTCATTTTAAACCTCAGAATCGGGTTTGTAATGACATTAAAGTGCCGTGCCTCAGTCCGTGCAGCAGTAAAGCGCTCTCTGCTTATAGAGTATTTCTGGATCTGGAAGTGACTCAGCTGCAGAGGATGACGCAGCAGGGGATTGTGGAGCAGCGACCCATAATCCTTTGGCTTATTCCAGCTCAGCACTTTCAGTCCTGTGTTTTGCCACGTGACAGAGCCAGCGCTACCTCCTGTGCGCCTGGTGTACTGCAGAATGTTATATTGATTTAGTTCAATTTGATTTGTGTACATTACAAAAAACATTGTTACAAAGTTGTCGATTCCTCAACAACAGATCAGAGAATCAATCAATGCAATAATAACAAACACATAAAGCAGGACGACCACTGTCCGGAAGTGTTCAGAAATGTCCTTAAATGTCCAGGATCATCACTGTCCTTAGACCGTCCTGCTTCAGAAAGGACTCACTGAAGATACTCTGTGGGAAGACAGTAAGAAACCTTGGGGAGACCCACATTGAGAGAGGGATTTGCTCTCAGGCTGTGAATCCAGATCTGAGGCTGTAGATCCAGGACTGAGGCTGTAGACCCAGGACTGAGGCTGAAGCTGTAGATCCAGGACTGAGGCTGTAGATCCAGGACTGAGGCTGTAGATCCAGGACTGAGGCTGTAGATCCAGGACTGAGGCTGTAGATCCAGGACTGAGGCTGTAGATCCAGGACTGAGGCTGTGGATCCAGGACTGAGGCTGTAGATCCAGGACTGAGGCTGTAGATCTAGGACTGAGGCTGTAGACCCAGGACTGAGGCTGTAGATCCAGGACTGAGGCTGTAGATCCAGATCTGAGGCTGTAGATCCAGGACTGAGGCTGTAGATCCAGTACTGAGGCTGTAGATCCAGTACTCAGGCTGTAGATCCAGGACTCAGGCTGTAGATCCAGGACTCAGGCTATAGATCCAGTACTGAGGCTGTAGATCCAGGACTCAGGTTGTAGATCCAGGACTCAGGTTGTAGATCCAGGACTCAGGTTGTAGATCCAGGACTCAGGTTGTAGATCCAGGACTGAGGCTGTAGATCCAGGACTCAGGCTGTAGATCTAGGACTGAGGCTGTAGACCCAGGACTGAGGCTGAAGCTGTAGATCCAGGACTTAGGTGGCTCCCAGGTGTGGAGGGGGTGCAACCATCGAGTCCGGGCCGGGGGAGACCAGTTTATGGTATAATTTATGGTTCAGAGACCATATCATACACTATACCATAGGTGAAGACAAAAGAAGCTGGATTCAGAGGTCCCCAGAACAGAACGTACGTCCGTTTAGACTCGGCAACTGAAGCACGGACAGGATTTGAAATAAGTCTCTGATAAAACAGACCTGACACAAAGTCCAAAGAATGTCATTTTGAGGTTCAACAAGAAAGTGGAGGAAATTGCAAAGCACTAAAACTATAGTTAACTTCAGGTTTATCTTTGACGATGGAAAAATGTTTTTAAAATGTCAAGGTAAAAGATCAGAAAATATAATCTCGTCTTTGGTCTTGAAGGAAACCACAAGCAAACTCTCAATGGTGCAGCAATGAAAGTTATTAATTTCATTTCAATTTATTCTTGCATCGCCCTAAATTACAACAGTAGTCATCTCGGAGGACTTAAAAAAACCGCTGAAGTCGCCAACACAGATCAAATATATCATAGTTTCTGCAGAAAGAGGAGACGCTGACGAGCTTTCTTAACAGCCTCATTAGTGTTTTAGTGATCAATTGTCAATTGTGCTGACCTCTCTCTCTCTCTCTCTCTCTTTCAGGTGGAGATGAAGAAGGTGAGTCCCCCGCCTGCATGTGTCTCAGCTCTTCCTTCACACAGTCACACTGCTACACTCACAGTAGTGCATTTGTCCTGTACAGACCTCTGCAAACTCACACAGCAATAGCCGCAGCTTTAAATAACATTGGACGGACATTTAAGGCCAGTTCAGGTTTCAGAAGACGACCTTTGTTTGCTCTGACCAGCTGCACACTTATGATTGGATAAGAGGATTCCTTTTTATGAGATGTAAAGACAGAGTCAAAACGATCTGTGGGATAAACTCTCAATAATGATATAAATACTGAGGCTGAACTGATTTTATTCAAAGACATGGAACGAAAATGGGCTCAGATTCCAATTTGTGGTAAAAAAAAAAACCCCGATCAAGTAACAGTCCGTCGTACCTTTGACCAGTGCTGTCTTTGGGCATCGTGCTTCTGCTGAGTGTGGCAGTGAGCGGAGGCGGTCAGAGACGGTTGTAGCATCTAGGAATATGCCCCGTTTCCACCAGCCCTACCTGACTCAGCTCTGCTCTACTCAGCTCTGCTCTACTCTGATTGGGAGTGTTTCCATTGGCCCTGTTTAACCAGTACCAGCTCCTTCTTTGGTCTCTCATGGCTGAGCTGGTACTAGGGTGTTCTAGAGCAGTGGTTCCCAAAGTGGGGGTCCCGACCCCCCGGGGGGTCGCGGGAACCCCTGGGGGGGTCGCAAGATAATTTCCACACAAACAAAAAAAAAAATTTTTTTTTTTGAGCAAATATAAAGCCCTTAAATATTTATTTAGCATTTGATTTGATTCAAAAGGACTACTTGTTGAAACAGTGTTTGGAGACTATAATATATTTTAATAACGTTAGTAATTTTGTCCCAGTCATTGCAGCGTCAATCAAAATCATCACGTAACACAGCTCACATCATGCGCAGCGACAAAGCGTGTCCTGCTGTTGTTTGCTAAAACTAAAGGTGTTTGGAGGCTACAAATAAATAATACTTGCTTTAAAATGAAACGTGGTTAATATCCACAACAGAAAAACCCGGAGGGGGAGAAAAGTCACTTGTATCAGGGGTCAGGCTGATGGTGCGAAGAGAGGGAGAGAGGGCAAAGGAGGGAGAGAGGGCAGAGGAGGGAGGGAGGACAGCGGTAGAACAGCGCGTTAAAGAGGTAAAAGCGGGTGGCCGGTTTATGCCTTTACTGACAGTAACTTTGGAAAGAGAAGCCGCGGGGATGAACCGCATAAAGTAACAGCAGAAAGCGGCCGCCCGCTTTTAATGTGCGGACCTCTTTACCGCTGACTCCGGAAAGCCGGCCCACTTTACCGCGGTAGGAGAACAGTGAGGGCGAGCCGCAAGAAATGCGCTCCACTTCTGCTGAGGAGGGAGCCCACCAAGCCCATCACTGTGTCACTACATGAGTAAGTGGGGGGGGGGGGAACCCCTGTTCTAGAGTGCTGCTGGAATCCACTTTACCAAGAAAATTTTGTTCTCACATGTTGTTATTCTTATTGTAAAAACACGGGACCTAAGATCTAATGTTCATAACGGCCAAAGAAATAAACTACTACTACTATTTGCTCCAAATTAGGGTTTGTTGTGGTTTGGTTGCCAGGATACAATTCCTGATACTAACGCGTAATGGTAACACAACCGAGTAGAGTAGAGTAGAGTAGAGTAGAGTAGAGTAGAGTAGAGTAGAGTAGAGTAGAGTAGAGTAGAGTAGAGTAGAGTAGAGTAGAGTATAAAATAAAGGCCTTGTGAGATTGTTTCCATCTTGTTTTGTTCAGCACTTTAAGGTGGCCATGTGTATGAACTGTGCTGTACAAATAAACTTGCCTTGCCTAGAGTAGACATGTAGGGCTGGTGGAAACGGGGCTATAGGCTACAAAACAAAGGCCTTCTGGGTGAGATGGGTGAAGCAGACACTGGTCGTATGTAAAATATTTGGCCTAATCATTTGCTAATCATTGGGCATTTGCTAATTGGTCATTTGCTAATGCGCAAAAAATAACAATTGTAACCCGCTTTGTGACTCTGGTCTGTGAAAGGCGGTATATAAATCAAGATTACTTACTTACTTAATCAAGTCATGGTCAAAAGTGTGAGACAAATGCATTACTCATATGTGACATTGATCATTTCATGTCTCATCTTGCCATCTTCAGAAGCTCTGGAAGCCTTGGCACCACTCGGCACGGCTCGGCTTAGAGGCCTGGTTAAGGATTTATTCCGTCGTAAACTATTTGCAGCTGTTCAAGACTAGTCGTTTCCTACTCACATCTTGATTACAGTACTCGCTGGACTGGACCGTCGCTTTTTCCAAGTTCTGTTATAAAGTAATAGTAATAATACATTTTATTTTTCAAAACTCTATGATTTGAACAGGGGAAGAGAGTCAGGGTTGCGGAGGTCTGGGGGGAGTGAGTTCCAGAGCTGGGGAGCAGAGCGGCTGAATGCTCTACCCCCCACGGTGACCAGTCGGAGTCAGTTATTCCGCTGGCTTTTATAGCAATAAACGTATTGGCTGGTTTATATATAGATGTGCTTAATAGTCCAGCAAGTACTGTTCTTAAGTTTTATCACAACTTGTATGACTCCAGGGAGACAGTTTGATAGTAAGGCTAGCAAGAGTTAGCCACATTAGCAAGAACAGTTGGAATATAGTCAGTTCTGGAAGTAGATGGAAAAAGAACTTCTGTAAATCCAGAGTAGGGCCGAGGGAAATGGCTCTGGGCTATAAAGTGTGACATTATTCTCACTTCCAGAATCAACTTAGCAGCGTACCTTATATTTGTGTTTAACTTTGTCAGTGCGTGTGCTGTGTCTCATTCATAATTAAATTAAAATAAATATAAATTGGTGTTGGGTGAGAATAAAGGAATGAAGTAGTTGAATTGATGAGGTATGCTAACGTCATGCTACGTTGTTTTATTTAGCGTTGCTATCTATGTTAGCGTCAACAACAGAAGGAGAGGACAGATAACAGATAGTCGTTTTGTTTAGAGTTAGTGTTTTTTTTGTTGTTTTTTTTTACGAGCGTCACTTAACAGCCCACAAAAATGCAATTAACAGCTTAATAAAAATATTATTTGCGACGCTTTCCACCCGCTCACATTTGTGTTGTCTCTTTGCGAATGCTTGCTAACTCCCTCGTCTTTCTAACGCTCTTGTCTCTACTCTTTCCAGTGTAATGCTAACGCTAAGGTGGATCCTTTCCTCCTCTTTTCTTCCTGTGGACTTTGATGCTAACCCTGTGTGCTACTGTGACTGTGAAAATGCTAAATGATTAAAGTATTTGTGGAAAAGGATATATATACATTTACTGATGTAAACTAGTGTAGCTTTAGCAGTGCTACTCTGAGCCACTTTCAGTTGTCTTGTCTATTTCAATAAATGATTGTGGCTAAATCTGAGGTGTAATCCTTTTTCAATCCGTGAACAGACCCAAATTAGTATAATATCATAGATTGAGCACAATTTTGATCCATTTCAGTATTTTGAGAAAATAGAAGGGCTGTCTGTCTAGGGTCATTTGAATGAATTCATTGTTTTGTAGTGTCTTGTTCAACCGAGACTTGCATTAAAAAGATAAATAGATAAGCCTGAGAAGGTGCATAACAGTAGAGCATTCCTTTATGCCAAGAATCTCTTTCTAAAACGTTAATACTACATAACTACACAACAGTAGTCAAGGCCTGTGAATCTCTCTGCCTTAAAACAATGCATTTAGGAAATTTGCATAGAACCTAGCAACGCATTGTCTATTGATCTATTGCCTGCTGTTGCATCACTGCCACGTGTGGCCTGGCGTCTCGCTGTCAGACTGCACAGTTTGATGTGTGCCATAGCTTGTTGGGATGGTAAGAACTTCTTCATCACCTGCACTGCTTCATGTCGGCCTGCCCATACTCCTGTCCTCACTCCTTCTCTGTGTTTGCATGTTCATTATCTCTCATCACATAATCACTCAACAACTGCATGCTTTTAGTTTTTATACAAACATAACTCTGGACACCCCTGCATTGGTATTTCTGTGTCGAAGCCATGGCTGTCTGACTGTCGGGCTGGAGATGGGGCAATGGATGTGGTTGACTATGTTTGGCATTGAAGCTTTGAAGCAGTCCATTTCCCATTTTTATTTATTAATGACGTTTAAATTTGCTTGATTGTATAGATTAGGCATGTCCAAACCGAGGCCTGTGGACCAAGTACGGCCTGCAGTGTCATTTTATGTGGTCCTCTGCTGCGATCATAGTCTTTGAGATCATAAACACAAGTTACCAGTGTCCAGCCAACTTCAGTTTGACCTCATTGTAAAGATCAGAACCTCTAGATTCCAGTTATTTGTGAAAAAACAAAAATAGGTCTTGTTTTGCCGCTGATGTAGCTGTAGTGAGATGGTTCACACTAGTAAACATTTCTGTTAAATGAATAAAAAAAAATGGTGCATGTACCTGCACCATTTTAAAACTCAGAACAATACCAGTTCTGAAGTCCATACTGTTGGCCCCTGATCAAGTCTGATGAAGTATCCCTCTTGCTCAAAGGTTTGGACACCCTGGTACAGATGCTATGATCTTCCGCAGTTTTGTTTGTCATTCCATGTTTGTGCCATATTTTAATTTCGGCTGTAGACCTCAAATCCCTGTGTCCCTTTACACAACATCAACAGTCCCTTCACTAAAATATTTATTCATTTCAGCCTCTAGTGTTTTCTACACATACAGTATTTCCCAACTTTGTAAGGGTAAATGTGTGTATAGCTATATCCTCCTTATGAGATACCAATGCTGAGGTGTCTGTATTTTTATAACGACGTTCTCAAAAGAGGTTACATCTGCTCTATGGTTCTTGTATTACAGAGGAAGAGGAGGCAGCTGCTGAGGAAGAGGCTGCCGAAGAGGCTGCTGAAGAGGCAGCTGAAGAAGTAGCCTCAGAGGAGGAACCTGTGGAGGCAGCGGCTGAGGAGGAGGCCCCTGTGGCCGAGGAGGAGGCCTCTGCGGTCACAGCAGTGGAAGAGGTGGCAGCTGAGGTGGTGGCAGAGGTGGCACAGGAAGTGGAGACTGTGGCCCAGGAAGTGGAGGCTGCAGCACAGGAAGTAGAGACTGTAGCGGAGGAAGTGGTTAAAGTAGCAGCGGCGGTGGAGGAGGCAGCAGAGGCTGTGGAGAAAGCAGCCGAAGCGGTCACTGCGGAGCCCGAAGCTAACGGTACGAGCCCTTCTGAGGAAGAGGCCTGAGCTCGCACACACGCTCACAGACCCCAAACCTTCCTTTTATACCACTCGGCCGAAAGGCCTTCAGGCTCACGTCATTCTGTCTACGGGTAGGCATTACAAGGGAAAACTGTCAACTGAGAAACATAATATTTATGAATATGGGTTTGGAGGCTCCAGGTTTAGCTGCTACTTACGGTCATGCGCTGCCAACTGGGTATTGTTCAAACTTTGACATATTTCAATAGAGGCCAAGGTCCAGAACTGACTGCTACAAAACCCATCATGACTGACCATGACCCAACAGAACCCACCATGACTTACCATGCCCCAATATGGGCAGCAGTAGCTCACATGGTAGAGCTTTAGTCCTCTGAGCAGAGGGTTCGAATCCTGCTCCTGACATTCTTTGTCGAGCAGTCAGATCAACTGCACCCACAGATTGGCAGGTGTGAAACCAGCTCCCATTGGTTACTGCCACTGTGTGTCTTTGGGCAAGACACTTAACCCGCCTTGCCCAACAGAACTCTACACAACATATCATTTGAAATATTACTAAATAAATGTGTTTTTATGTGACTTTGAACAATTATATATTCAACATTCTCAGCTGGCAGCCACATGCTTCCGTAGAAACACATCTTTCAAGCCTTTGCTTCTGTTTTGTTGATTTTGTTGTAATTTTGAAATGAGTTCTGGGGCAACACTCACACTGTGATGTTTCGGAATGTATTTTTTGCTGTGCACTGGAGTGTGGGATGCCTGAAGTCTGAAGTCTTGCTAGCGTTTCCTCATTGTAACAGACATTCATTAATTGTTCCACTGTGAATTTCAAACAAGCTTTTTTCAGAAAGTTACAGTTTTTGTGGAGATTGTGTGCTCTGCTAGAACTCTGCGCCGACCTGAACATTGCTAGCTTTTGAATTGTTGCCTGAGACTGTACAGTTTTCATCAATTCGTGTGTGTTGTCATGTCAAACTGAAGCTAAACATCTTTGAAATATTTATTGTCATCATACTTGTAATCAATATTGTAAGCAATTTGTGTGAGAACCAAGTAATGCTAAAATCCTTAGCTTGACCACCCTCAGATTTTTTGCTTTAAACTTGACGATATTTAAGTACTGTACAATAAGTTCAAAAGTCATCAAATAAAATTATTTTCTTTACTATATTTTGTCTGAATATGGATTTGCGCGTACATTTTTTCTTACAAACAAAGGTTATGGTTTCATACAGAGATATTTAGGCCAAGTTTAAATGGCTTCCTTTACTCTTCGAGGTCCCGTTTTTAACTGACACTTTACCGCATTTCTCGTCTTGGACATGACCTCAGTACTTTCCAGGCAACACTTCTAACTCTGAAGCTGAAGTCCTCTGCCTCAACAGCCTTTACTGATCTTTGGGTGGATGGATTTTCTGTTGCAGTGGTTCTTGCAGCAGCCTCTGCCTCGGAGGGAGTCCAAATACCCCAAGAGGAGACCCCAAGCCTTGTCCCTGAGGCTCAGCCCAAAGAGAGCGAAGAGCCACCAGCCCTTCAAGAACCTGCCCCAGTGGTGGAAGAGGCACCAGTAGAACCTGCCCCTATGGTTGAAGAGGCACCAGTAGAACCTGCCCCTGTGGTTGAAGAGGCACCAGTAGAACCTGCCCCTGTGGTGGAAGAGGCACCAGTAGAACCTGCCCCTGTGGTTGAAGAGGCACCAGTAGAACTTGCCCCTGTGGTGGAAGAGGCACCAGTAGAACCTGCCCCTGTGGTTGAAGAGGCACCAGTAGAACCTGCCCCAGCGGTGGAAGAGGCTGCATTAGAACCTACCCCAGTGGTTGAAGAGGCACCCGTAGAACCTGCCCCTGTGTTGGAAGAATCCCCTGCCCCAGTAGAATCTGCCCCTGTGGTAGAAGAAGCAGCAGTAGAACCTGCCCCAGTGGTGGAAGAGGCCCCAGTAGAACCTGCCCCAGTGGTGGAAGAGGCACCAGTAGAACCTGCCCCAGTGGTTGAAGAAGCACCCGTAGAACCTGCCCTTGTGGTTGAAGAGGCACCAGTAGAACTTGCCCTTGTGGTTGAAGAGGCACCAGTTGAACCTGCCCCTGTGTTTGAAGAGGCACCAGTTGAACCTGCCCCTGTGGTGGAAGAAGCCTCGGCCCCAGTAGAAACTGCCCCTTTGGTTGAAGAAGCAGTCGTAGAACCTGCCCCTGTAGTGGTAGAGGCACCAGTAAAACCTGCCCCTGTTGTGGAAGAGGCCTCGGCCCCATTAGAAACTGCCCCTGTGGTGGAAGCGGCACCAGTAGAACCTGCCCCTGTGGTGGTAGAGGCACCAGTAGAACCTGCCCCTGTTGTTGAAGAAGCACCAGTAGAACCTGCCCCAGTGGTGGTAGAGGCACCAGTAGAACCTGCCCCAGTGGTGGTAGAGGCACCAGTAGAACCTGCCCCTGTTGTTGAAGAAGCACCAGTAGAACCTGCCCCAGTGGTGGTAGAGGCACTAGTAGAACCTGCCCCAGTGGTGGTAGAGGCACCAGTAGAACCTGCCCCTGTGGTGGTAGAGGCACCTGTCGAACCTAACCCAGTTGTAGAAATTGTGTCTGCTCCAACACAAACTAAGCACGTAGTAGATGACAATAGAGAGTACTTTGTGGTTATTCTTGAAGGAGCTCCTAAATCTGAACGCAGGCCTAAGGTTCTGGGCATGGGTCCAATGACCGGGAGAGTGATCCCAGATCCTGATGATGACGACGACTCTTCCTCTCAGGTAAATCACCCTCTGACAGTTTTGTTTTGATAATCAACATTAGTCAATACTCAGACATAAGGGATCCACCAAGAGCCCCACCAGGAGCACGGAGACCTGGTGTGATGGTAAAGACTGGAACTTCAGGTTGTACACTGGGAATCAGGTTTGGGGGTTCAGGAAAGGTGTGCTGATGCTCTCTCCTCTTCATCTCTCTGGGACAAACTTTCTCTAGAGGCAATGGCAGGATCAGGCAGAGGAGACAAGAAACGATCTTTAGTACGCTCCTATTGACTTGTTTGCACTCCACAATTCCTCCATTTTGTTGTCGCCTACATCTAGAAGGAGTCGATAGAGGGCTAAGAAAGCTAGTGTGATGCGTTAGGTCTATTTCCACACTCTGAAGTTGCCTTTAAGGTATTTAATGGCCATTATTAGTTGTTGTTTGCGAATGCAGCCAGTCTGACAGATCGGGGCAGATTCAGATCCAGTCCGACCGATCTCCAGGCTAACCAAGTGTTCTCCTGAACGCTGGCCACAGGTGTCTTACATGATCACTGTGCAGTCAGCAGAAACAGCATAATTATCTGTCACAGTGCTCAGTCACACTCTATGACCATCCTTTTTTTATTTGTGCCTCTCAGGGCAAGCGGCGCCTTCTTAAGATGCAAATGCAGTAGTGCTACACAAGGTACTCCTTCTTTTTGCATTTTCCATCTAAACTCAGACCTTTGTACCTTGCCTTTGTAAGAGCGCTGTAGAATGATTCATATCGTAACATCATGAGTCCATAGTGCGACTTCAGTGCACTGTAGAAAAGGACGCAGACATATGGATGTATTGGTTGGATAAAGAAAGAAAATACCCTAACGATATAGTTTTATTTATTTTAAATATTGAACCCAAAAGACAACCAGTCTACAAGAACGATCTTATCTTTGGTTCAATTCAGAGAAATCTATCCAGAAAAAATAACTAATATACCTGAAATATAGACTATAGATTGTAGACTATTATTCTGAAAGTTCACACATAAGCAACATAAAAGAGATGACAAAGCAAAAAACGCACCAGAGAGGTCAGAGGTCAGGGATAAAGCTGTGGAGAAGTTTGAAACATGGTGAGGTTAGAAAACTGTTCAATCCATGGGAATAGAGCTAAATGGAAACTCACAGCTCCAATGCTGACAATGCTGATCACAGATGCAGTCAAGGGGCCAATGGTTACTCTAGAGGAGCAGCAGACATCCACACCTCACCTGGGGAAATCTGTAAATTCTACAAGTCTGGCCTTGTGCAACGAGTGGTGAAAGTCAGTGTTGACATAAAGTCACATTAAGAGGAAGAAGGTGCTGTAGTCGAATGAGACCAGAATTTACCTCAAACGCAAAAATGTTATGTGTTGCTCAAAACTAACACTGCTCATCTCCCTCTGTGCACCATCATGGGGGTGGTAGCATCATGTTATGGAGCTGTTTTTCTTTGAGGGACAGGGAAATCTCAGAGTTGATGGGAAGGTGAATGGCGCAAAATGAAAGACTTATGCACAAGAATAACAAAATCATGTGTCGTTTTACTTTCACTTCGCAGTTGTCTGTTACTTGCGAGGAAACTCAGAAAAAAAATCTAAATACAATATAATTTTATATATATATGGCTGTAAACATGACACAACGTGAAAAAGTTCAATTATTATATAGCGACACTACATGTGGCCATAATCTACACAAACTCATAAAAAAAAAAATTCAGCCTCTGACCAAAATAAGTTGGACACCTCTGGCTTCAGTAGTTTGGAACTCTTAAAGGTTTCTTGCAATGAACTCGTGAGGAGAATTAGTGACACTAGCAATTTGCTCCTGGTAACACAGAAATGTGCGATTCTTTTTCCAATTTTGATCATTTCTTTTGAGCGCGATCATCATTTCGCGACTGTTTCCTTCTGTTGCAGTGAGCGTCTTGTGAATGACTCTGCTGCTGTGCCTTCTTCCTGACCCCAGCTTAGACCACAGACCTGGACTCACCCCCCACCGTCTCCCGAACGACTCACCCACTCAGCGGCCTCTTAAAGGGGAGGGACTGGACGCTGTTTTAAAGGGAACTTCACTGGCAAAATGGTGTCGTTTTCCTTTGTCATTTACACACTCTCTGCGGTTCATGCTCGAGTCATTTTGATTCCCTCATTCACGGTGTAACAGTTTGCCTTTTCCCCAACACGATATAAAACTACAGTGCATACAATAGGTAGCAGGAGGGAAAAATCGCATCAGCGGGGGGAAGTAAACACCAAACTAGGCCACATCAAACCCATACTCAACCCCCACTCAATACTATGTCATTATTACTGAATCCCAGCAGTCATACAGTCTTGAGGAAAACACAATATATTCCAACAAACATTTATATTCCCGACCTTGTTTTCTCCCAGACCAGAGTGCTAGCATGCCACTGGTCTCTCTCAAATACAGTCTAGAGATGACCCATTTCCACCAGCCTTACTCGGCCCTACTCTACTCTGCTCTACCCTAGTATCTGGTACTGGATCCTGGCGAATGACCCACAACAATTCCGAGCAATTCCTTGGTACCCATGGCTTGTAGCAGCATTCTAGTAACTCTGTCAGTTAGAAAAATAAATGGTACCAGTTAAACAGGGCCAGAGATACAGTTGGACGAGAGTAGGTCTGGTGGAAACAGGGCTTTTGTCCATAGAAATTCAAACAAACAAAAACACAAAACCAATCTGTTGTGAACTGTTAGCAAAGCCCGGTGTGTGCGTTGCCGCTTTGACTTACCGAAACTGTGATACGCACGTGATTCGGTTGTTTTTATTCCAGAGGTCGGGAACCTTTTTAGAAAGGGCAGAAAAAGTCTCATGCTTTAAAATATATTTCTGTGGGAGCCATGCGCTTATGTGAATGTGATTTAAAAAAAAGCAACATCAACACATTTAGAGTGAGGTATAAGTCTCAGAATGAATTTTTATACTGAAGAAACCAATACATAAAACATTCTTACTATTAGTGCAGACTATCATTTCTCAGAGAGCAACCGTGTTTAGGGTCCGTGTACGTCGCGGCCATTCTATTTTTGATTAGGAAAGAAAATACAAAAAACGAATATTGGCCGTTTCCCGTTTTCCGTTTTCAAAATAAAATGTAGAAAACGAGAATTTAATCCGTTTTTCGATTTTGTGTTTTAAAATTAAAAAACGGATAACGAAAAACAGGTCATAATCCGTTTTTCCATTACACATTTACACAAGAAACACCAACATCGAAAAACCACGGCAAAAATTTGATTTTCCATTCTTGATCTTATTTTGAAGCTACAGATTAACGATTATGTTAACAATATCAACACTCACAAAATAAAATTCATTATGAAGAGGAGAGCAGATTAATTAAAGATTACAAGATATAGAATAATATTAATGTATATCAGCGGACACCATTAGCCTTTTTAGATGGCTAACCGTTCACTAGCATAAACACAGTAGGTTTTGCTATTTAAATTTATAAACTTACCTGGAAAATGGTGCCAATCTTATCCACTGTCATGTCGACATCTTTTAAAGTAACCCGTTTGCTGTCTCGATACAAAACAAAAGTTTTCTCCAACTCTGGTATCTCCATTATCATTCAAAAAACTGGAAAACTCTGACTGTGCGGGAAAGCCTCAACAGCTTCCGGGTCAGCTTCAAAATAAGATCAAGAATGGAAAATCAAATTTTTGCCGTGGTTTTTCGATGTTGGTGTTTCTTGTGTAAATGTGTAATGGAAAAACGGATTATGACCTGTTTTTCGTTATCCGTTTTTTAATTTTAAAACACAAAATCGAAAAACGGATTAAATTCTCGTTTTCTGCATTTTATTTTGAAAACGGAAAACGGGAAACGGCCAATATTCGTTTTTTGTATTTTCTTTCCTAATCAAAAATAGAATGGCCGCGACGTACACGGACCGTTTAAGCTAACACGGCAGATCTCCATACGGCAAAACTGAAAGTGACTCAATGTGTCTGGATGTGGAGATTTCAGATGAGTTAAATTTGTTTCCTGTTTTCGGGAACATGATCCCAGAACAAGAACATGGGAGCGTCACGTTGGACTTTTTTATCTCGAGGACTAGAACCAGCAACCTTCTGTGCAACAAGAATGTAATAGATGTATCCCCATATCCCCATTGTGTTGTTTTGCTGTAATGTTTTTAGCCAAATAGGATGAGGCAAATAAGAGAACGATACTTTATATTTGTACACAGAAAGCGAAACACAACAGTATCAGAGTCAGGCATGTCTCACATTTCATAAGAAGACTGTTCCATATTTTTGCTATATGGATTTTGCTATTTTTGTTTAGCCCTCAGTGTCCCAGCAGGAGGCCAGTCCCTGTGCTCCTCAGAGTCCCAGCAGGAGGCCAGTCCCTGTGCTCCTCAGAATCACCTGCAGGAGGCCAGTCCCTGTGCTCCTCAGTGTCCCAGCAGGAGGCCAGTCCCTGTGCTCCTCAGAATCACCTGCAGGAGGCCAGTCCCTGTGCTCCTCAGTGTCCCAGCAGGAGGCCAGTCCCTGTGCTCCTCAGAGTCCCAGCAGGAGGCCAGTCCCTGTGCTCCTCAGAATCACCTGCAGGAGGCCAGTCCCTGTGCTCCTCAGTGTCCCAGCAGGAGGCCAGTCCCTGTGCTCCTCAGTGTCCCAGCAGGAGGCCAGTCCCTGTGCTCCCTATCCCTATGAGTTCCCTATGATCACCAGCACTCGGCCCTTTGCTAAATAAACACAGGGATTGCAGGCGTTCCCTTCCGTGGCACAGGCTTTTCTCCCGACACTTCAACACTAGCCTCTCAGAACTCAACTGCCAAGTATTTACATTTCCTCACAGGAGCCCCAAAAAGGTCTACGTCTGGAACCGGAGTGGACTGTGAAGCGGGCTCCTTTACTTCTGTGAAATCTTAAGAATAAGCTGAATTTTCTACACACTCCTCAGGATTCAAGCCAATACCTCTGGATATCGTTACTCTCTCCTGTTTTACACTATCTGCTCTGGAAATGCACCGATACAGCTGCGTTTGATATCATACCTGTGCTTCTACTGAGATCTGTCACTGGCTTTTAACCCAGAGTTTATACTTTTACTCATTCAAAGTTGTTCTGTTGTTATTTTCAGTATGTACTATCACTTTGTTTGTAATAACTTATGAATTGATGAGGAATGCGTGGCTGGTTTTGTTTCATAACAGCAGATACTGAAAGCGCATGTCTCATTTCAATTCAATTTCTTTTTGTATCGTTCTAAATCACAACTGTATTTATCTCGGAGGACTTTACAAAGCCGTCGATTCTCCAACACAGATCAGAGAATCAAACAGCTGATGATATTTCTGGAGATAGGTATCGGTGCATCTCTAAAGTGTACAGAACCCAGACCTCTCTACCTCAGTCCCCTTCACTCCCACATCACTCCCACAGGATACAGGACACTTTTTCTAGATGTTGTTACTTCTCATCTTTTGGGTTAGAAAGGGAATGATTTTTAAATGATTTGTGATTTATAAATAAGGGATTGTGTGTGTTTTGAATGGCTTAAGCAGGTGCTACAATGTGAATGTGCAGAGCTGGTGCTGCTTTGTACTCGGTGTGTTTGCTTCCAGAATGTGAGACGAGGGCGATGTGAAAGTCTGCATGTTCTCACTCTCCTCCAGGCTTTGTCCTGCACACCTGCAAATGTCACTGAAGCTAGCTGTGTTTGTGTCCGTTAGCATAGGAGCTCAAGTCTGAACAACTGTTTGAATGTTTTGTATAAAATAAATATAGCGATTGGGACCTTTGAAGTGGTTTTGTTCCATGTCTTTTCTTTCCCCAAATCTGTTTTAAGTTTAAACTTGTAGGGCTGTGACACATGCAGGACTTTACAGAGTTGTTGATTCGCCAACAACAGATCAGAGACACACAGGAAATGCAACTTTAATAAACACAGAGGAGCCATTGGTTCATAGAGAGCAGAGACCACTGTCCAAACATATTAATAAATGACCCTACTGTATCAGAGAGGAACCACTAAAATGATTAGAACTAAGTCCACGAGGGTTAGGGTTAGGGTTAGAAGGTAGGAGTTTGATTTCATGTTGTTATGGGAGGGTAAAATTCACATATGTCAGCACAGCCAGACATTGCTCATGACTGAACCATGAGCCTCATTGCTCTGCTGCCCCCTGGTGGACAGCCTGTGATCATTGCTCTGCTGCCCCCTGGTGGACAGCCTGTGATCATTGCTCTGCTGCCCCCTGGTGGACAGCCTGTGATCATTGCTCTGCTGCCCCCTGGTGGACAGCCTGTGATCATTGCTCTGCTGCCCCCTGGTGGACAGCCTGTAATCATTGCTCTGCTGCCCCCCGGTGGACAGCCTGTGATCAGTGCTCTGCTGCCCCCTGGTGGACAGCCTGTGATCAGTGATCTGCTGCCCCCTGGTGGACAGCCTGTGATCAGTGCTCTGCTGCCCCCTTGTGGACAGCCTGTGATCAGTGCTCTGCTGCCCCCTTGTGGACAGCCTGTGAGCAGTGCCTGTGCATCTGATCAGTGGAGACCCAAGTGTCTGTTGAGGCTCATTACTTATAGATAAGTGAAAGCTCTAAGCTCTGTTTACTATTTTCATTATTCATGAGGTTTGTTTTTTCTGAAGCTGCGTTTAACCTGGAACAAGGTGGAACAGCAGGACGTAGAAATGATCAGACATAATGAAACACAAATATAAACTCACCGCCTTCACGTGTCATTCTTAGCTTGAGTGGTTTTGACCATGGACTGTAAATATTAACAGACCTTGTGTAGATTAGCATTTGCACATGCGTTAGCCGCCACTAGCTCCATTCATTTAATGAATGCATTCAAAAGTCCACAGCGGCTAAACTAGACTGGTCCAAATAAAAGCATCTGAAACATAGCGTTGGGCCAAGAGCGACTTTTGGACCATCCTGTAAAGACTTTTTTGAGAGGAAAGAAGACGTCATACAAAAGGTAATTCTCTTTCCGGGTACACCCCCACCGGCCCGGAGTGAGATTGCAGCATGTCAGCGCACGTGCTCATGGACCTTTTGGAGTCGGGACCTGCCCCCACTGGTTTGGACGAGTCTCACAGACGTTTACAGAATCATACTCTTACATGTGTTATTCATTATCCATTTAGCTACGTTTTGTCCAATGTATCACTTTGGAGATTTTTTATATAAAGTTATTAATTCATGTGAATAAGACAACAGACTGTATGGTGTCTTTGTAATTATGTAATTACTATTAAACTATAGTTCGTATTTTAGCGTTGCATTTCCCCAGTATGTACGAAATGCCTTTTAACTGGGAATCTTTGGAGATCATAAAGTGTAAACAAATGGAGGTTTCCAATAATGACTAAAACAAAACTAACTCAATAGTGTGGAAGGAGAGCGCAGCTGCCTCCAGCCAAAGATCAGAACGAGGGAGAGAAAGAGAGAGTTTTCCATTCAATAATAATGATGCAGACAGCGGACATTCAGAGGTAAATTACAGTTTAATAAATGTGTTTCTCTCATGAGCAGCTGTGTGGGGCTCAGACGATGATGTGACATCACACTGACAAGCCACTAGCATCACACACCGTTAAGTCCTGGCCCCCACACAGACACAGGTCAGGGGTCCCCCAGGGGTTAGTCCTGGCCCCCACAGAGATACAGCAGAGCCTTCTGATAATCCCCCTCCGTGTCCTCCTGCAAACACCACAGAATCACAGGCTTCACAGACGACTGGGTCAAACCAAGTCCATTCAAATACCACAGATGTGTGCAACAAATATATTGATTTTTAGATAAATATCGATATAATTGTTTATCATTTTGAGCAAGTGGCTAAAAGCCATTATTTTCTCAATTAATTGTTTTAAATTGTTTAGAAATATATTAAATCAAGCTGTTTTTGGTATCGGGTAGTGTGTGTGGAGAATCATTTATGTAACTGGTTCAAATATCCATTGTATTGCCACCTACAGGTGAAAGCCAGATCCCCCAGACCACTGAAGCTAAGCAGGACAGGGCCCGGTTAGTACTGTGATGAGAGACCTCTGGGAATACCAAGTGCCACAGTGGGGCGGCTGTAAAGTGCCAAACTGTGGTTGTGTCCTTAGGCAAGACTCTTCACCCACATTAGAATGAGTCTGGTGTGTGTGTGACTGGTTGGTGGTGGTGGGAGGGGCTGATGGCACAGACTGGTTGCCTCGCTTCTGTCAGTGTGCCCCAGGGCAGCTGTGGTTACAGTAGTAGTTTATCATCACCGTGTTTAGAGTAAATAAACATATAGAGGCAGATGCAGTTCTGTAAAACTGGATTAAATGTGCTTTTATGAATGGGATCCAACGCTACAACAGAACTCTTGAGGGTGCAGATAGAGAAGCAAATGGAACGGTAACAAGCGTGACCGTTTGGTTTTGGGCTGTTGAAAAATCTCATTATTGTCACTAATTAGAGATATTAGTGCGTATTTATGGACGTGGGATTTAATGGCTACTTTTCTCCTTCGTTGAAACACCAAAGCAATATTAAATGTGAGCTTGGCGTGTGTCATCGAGGCAACATCACATCTGCATCCGGCTTTTAGCACAGACACTGTCCATAATCTATCTTTTTGTGTAACAGGTGCATTTAGCCACATTCCAACACGCTTGTTATATTAGCTTAATTGTGAACCACTGGGGGAAAAAGCTATTATTAAAGGCTGGGAAC